TTTTATTTGCAAGATTTTTATTTCATTATTCTTATCTTTTTACTTCCGTTGTTTGCAAGATCAATTTTAAATCTCAAACAGTCGCTCTTGTCCTATCGTTTTCTATTAGAAACGCAATTACAATTTGCAGTCTTTTTAAAATAATAAAATGATTATGATCTTAATTTATCGTAATTCATCAGTGTTTTCCCTGCTCGTTACATATCAGGCGCAGATAGTAAGTACAAAATCTCGTTTGTAAAGCCGTATTCGTGGGCGACATATAAAGTCGCGGACAGTCCGTATCCGCGCTTCAGTCGGCGGCTGTGTCTTCTGCATCCGCGTGCCGTCGTATCCGTCAGAATCTGCATCCACGATTTCGAAAGAGTGGCACCGAGGGGATTGCAGGAAATTTGGGTTGCACTTTTTAATTTTTGGAAACCCACGATACCGAATATTCGCGCAGAGTGTATCGGGGTCGCATCAGTATGCGGGTCCCGATTTTATTGATTCTTGGGCTGCTTATCTACGCTGTCGATGGTAACATCGTACCTAACGAAGGTAAAGGTTTTGATTATAAGGAAAGTGACAAATATTTATGAGGAATAATTCCGTGTTGACGAATTAGCGATGATCATGTTAACTCCGATTCGCATTCCCTTCTTGCGAAAATAGAATATTTCTTCCGTTACTTTCTTCGCGTTTCTTAGACTATACTGTTGAAGATACCATTCGTGGCGCGACAAGAAACCCGGTAGTAACGTGAGATCGGTGACACGTGAGATGTCTTCACGGTTAGGTGCATTGATCAACTCTTGGTCACTCAACTCTTGTATTCTTTCGCAGAATTCTTTATATTATATTTTTAAATGTATATTAAACAGCATAAATAAAATACAACTTTCTAAATTTACAATTAAGCTTTTTATTATATATAATAAATGCAGGGTTATTTTTAATTACGCTGTCTTTTTTTCATTCTGACGCTTTTTGCAACAGCTCTAACTACGAGCCTGCAGGATGTTTGGTTCGATGACGAATTCGTTATCGCAATATCCAACTTCAATAAGAGAAAATCTGATAGTCCAGTGGAGACTCTGTTATCTGTGAAATATTTGGGAAAAATAAAATTAGTGCTCATGATCGATCGACGAACAAAACGCGGTGAGTCAAGATTTGTCTGAATCACGATCTTTTGAACTTCTGCGTTATCATTATTTTAATTGTTTAATGTTTATCGTTCCAGTTATACTTGAGAGTCTCGATAATACGGGTCGACGCAGCGCATCACATGTCAAAGTTGACAGCATCTCAGTGAATAGTCCTCTGAAGAGTCTGATTTTACTGGTGTATCAGGTGCAACCTAATCCTCGCGTGGATGTGTACGTCGATTGTAATTACCAGGGTTCTATACCGTTGAAGACAACTTTTCGCCACATATTTGCGAACATGGACACTCTAGAAGGATACGTAGAAGTAGTAAGTTTCACAAAATATTACCTTTTGTTACCAAAATGTTACCTTTCACAAAATATTTTTCATAAAGTTTTAATTTAGATAAATCTTGAATATATTATCACATATGTTAGTTAAGACAATTCACGCTTTTTTTATGCTTGCCGAGGAATTAAAAACACGTAAACGCGAATATATTGTCCAAAGTTAAATAAATCTTAATCTTTTTAAATAAAAAAAAAATCCCGCTTGTTTTCGTATACTTAATTTTGTCCGATATTATTTTTTTGCTGTCGCTTTCTTCATTCACGATCGTATAGCAGTTTCTTATTTACGTGTTATTCGTGACGTCCACAAACGTGGGACGACGTCTTTCCAAATATGGTTGACGAGACCTAAGCTAGTTGCTTCTGTTACATGCACCTGGTAGGCTTACCCAACTCAGACAACGATCCCTGACTACTCGGATGAATTGAATTCGTTTCAATGAATTATTCGCGCCCTATTTCTGCCACTAGTGATATTATATTCTGACTTTATGCAATATTATAACTCTACGATTACTTTCAATTCTCGATTCAATTCTTGTGGATATCTTTCACTACTAAATAAAATCAAAATGATTCTTTGAATTGCCATACTGATTTTGACAGAAATTTAACAGTATTTAAAATATTGTTAATTTTTCTCTTGATAATTACAATTCTCTTGATATATTACAATTGAACTCTATTTATCTGAACTCTATTTATAGGGAACACGACAGTTTCGATATCCGATGATTTAGGTAATAGGGGTTCTACTAATTCCCTATCAGTATTTACTAGTTCCGATAATAGAAGCTGACGTTCAGAAAATTGAAATCGAGTATATCGAGTTCCTGTTACTATAATTACGACGCCGTAGTTCAGATAATAGGAACTCAACTACGAGTTCGGATATTTGGACCTAAGCATAAACTTGTATGTGTAGATATTGTAGATAAATGGAATTCTGTTGTATTATTTACTTCTCTAATTCGTTTAATTAAAATTTATTTGATTAACAGCAATATTTATTTATTTATAAACGTTATAAAATTCTTTTAGTTAAAAGAACGAAAAAGCCGGGTAAAAGTGTATCAGACTACAATCACTGATGTGCTGAAGAAAGAGCAATGTCCTGACAACCTATCTGAAATGAAGCAGCCTTCAGTATTCGAAACGCCGAAAACACAACCTATCGATTCTGATGAAGACTATCAAAATAAATCTATCGATCGACCTGACGAAACAAGTGATGAAATTAACGGATCGGGATCGAATAATAATGATCAGTGGCCTTCCAATAACTCAAAGTTTCTTTGGGATAAAAAACTTTCCAATAAGAAACATCCGAGTGATAGCAATCGACCTAAGAAAAAAGATCACTCGAGACATCCAAAAGGCAAAAGCAAACCCGATAAATACGATCCATATGATTCTTCCCCTCCACAATCTCCGATAGATCGCCCCAAAAAACATCCTAAATCAGGTAAACTCAAACAATCAGATTCGAAGCCCGATAAATCGGATCCGTACGACAAACGATCTGGATTATATGGATCAAGTCCATATAATTTTAACACAAATCCTTCCTTAACATCAGATGAGTCTGCTGGGTCACCTGTTGGATCCGAATCTTTCAATTCTAAACGACCTGGCCGAAGTCCGTATCCCGGTAGTTCGAGTCAAAATGCGTACCCTTATTCAACAGACATGTCTGATTCAGAATCATCCGGCAGAAGAGTACCCAGGAGAGGCGATATCGGAATCCAAAGTCTGGATGAGAAAGGTAGGTGACATAAACGGATATTAAATTAAGTCAATTAACGTCTTCTCACGGAAAGTGTTTTTCAGTCTGCCAGACCGATGATCAAATCGTAAAAACCTTGAACGAATTAATCAACGCTACCAGGAAACTCGGGAGGGAGTTGGAACTAAATGTAAGTTAAGCGATCAAGTAATAAAGCAATTCCTTCATTATGTATGAATTAATATCCTTGAATCTTAAATTAATACTTTTACAATAATTTCAAATTAAAATAAATATAAAAATTTATATATTTCTTATATAAATAAATTCTTATATTTCATTCTTAATTTATAAATTACATAAAGTTTAATTATTAAAACATTTTGACAAAAAAAAAACTATTATTCGCTATTATTCAATTATAAAAAAAATGTGTGTAATTTGAAAGATTGAAAGATTTGACTTACGACTTATCGTTTCGTTTTACAGAGGATGGAAACCCAACATCTTCGCCATTTGATTGAAAATTGTTCGGCGTGTCGTACACCCATCGGTGAGTGACGTTCCGTCGTATTGAAAGGACACGTGCTCGAAAATAACAGTTCTTTTAATTTAGAAGTTAGCCAAAACCGCAACATAATGCCACAGTTGAATGAATCTAATTAATCTATTTCACGCGCGTCGTCCTTCGCACCCTCGAACTTAATCTGTACGTGACAGTTGTCAGCGGAGACTATCTATTTATATGCAACGAGTTGTATTAAGCAATCTTTCAACGCAATAAATGCCTGTTGTTAGAAAAATTCAACTTTGTTGTGACTCTTATATTCTTGCATTGCGTAATCTCTTTCGATATGTGTGCAGCTGGCGGAAGCTTTCATTTAATCATTTAAAACGCGATCTTTTTGCAAAGATCAAACGTCGCTAATTTCTCTCCGAGTTAATTGTTCTTCAATTACAAATTTACAATTTCTATAAAGATCCTGCTGCAATGTAATCAAGACAAATTTTATTTGCTTCCTCTCGTCTCTTCTTCAGACAAAAATTTCGATATATCGGAAGATGATTAATTCGTTAAATTAAAAATTAAGACGGACGCTTGCAAATGCGTAATAGTTATCCCATTGTTACACCGTCTTTATTCTAAGGAGATCAAGAATGCGCAGGATCCGCGACGTCGATTTTAAGTCAATCTCTTTAAGCATACGTATACCACTTGTACGTGCACTTGTACGACACGCTGGGCCGTTGCATAATTTTCTGGGCCCGCGCCGGGCCCGCTCGACGGTGTGCACGGCGCGTATGGAAGACCGGCTGTCGAAAATTCCCCGAAAATTGGCAATTCACTCGTCATTCGAGCCGTGATCCCGGTAATTCCGTAGTGCCAACACCGCCGCCGTCCACGTGCGATCATAACTCTCCGTGCTATCCCGGCGTCGATTGCCGTAACACACCGAGCGGACCCCAGTGCGGCCCCTGTCTACGTGGTTACTCCGGAAATGGACGGGTCTGCGTCAAAATCAATCCCATCACCTGCCTCCAACGGCCGTGCTTCTTGGGGGTGCGGTGTTACGATGATGACGATTATGGCTACAGGCAAGAAAAACACCACTAAATCTCTAACGATCATTTAAGTCTGTAATGGAATAAGATAAAAGTATAGATTAACTTTAATTTCTATTTGTAATTTACTGTTTATCCTTTTCTAATTTTTAGTGCTAAAAAAAAAATAAAAAATGAGTTAAGATTAAACTTAACTTCTATTATACTAATCTGTGTAGTAGAAATGGACGTAAAACTGACAAATTAAAGATGACCTCTTAATAACAAATAGAATGTTTCACGAGAATCTCTGTTGTAATTTAAGTATAATTCTGTTCAGATGCGACAGATGTCCAAACGGATACATCGGCGATGGCGAAAGATGCGAGAGGATAAGAAACCCCTGCGACCGTCACCCCTGTCATCCGGAAGTTAAATGCCATCCTACTTACAATCCACCGTATTTCAAGTAAACATTTCACAAGCATATTTTCTTCGGGATCCTACATATAATTTTTACTGAAATAAATTCTTTCTATAAAAATTATAAAAGTTCGTTTAAGAAATGTTGTTTTCCCAAAATTACGCAATCAACAAATTCTTAATGTAAAATTTGATGTAAATGAATTTGATGTAAAAATTTTCACGTCTGTTTTCTTTGTAATTATTTTTCAAATATATACATTCTATATTTTCTTGTCACGTAGAATGTTGGTGGAATATATGTATCCTGTGTTTTATGATTCTTGTCAATCTCATGTGTGATGTAGATGCGGTCCATGTCCATCGGGATATGTGGGTAACGGCACGGTGTGTCTCGATGCGAATGAATGCGAGCTGGCGCGACCCTGTCACCCCGGAGTACGGTGCATGAATCTCCATCCTGGATACAGATGCGACCGTTGCCCGACAGGTTACACGGGGCCGATGACGGAAGGCGTCGGTGTCGAGATGGCCAGATCGCGAAAACAGATCTGCCAGGACATAGACGAGTGCGAGACCAACAACGGCGGATGCGATCCCTATTCGGAGTGTATTAACACGGAGGTGAGATGTCTATTCGGCAAACAAGTTAGCGTTATTTTTTTGTCATTTTTACGACATTTTAACGTTAAAATAATAAAAAACGTCGGTTTGTTTGCTGGATGTTTAACAAGTTAAAATCCATTTTGTTCTATGTTTCAAATATGTATACTTTCTGTTCCTGAAGGGATCCTACAGATGCGGTCCGTGCAGAAGTGGTTACGTTGGCAATCAAACGACAGGATGTCGTGTTCAGAAAGGTGCCTGCCCAGATTTGATAACGATCTGCGATGTCAATGCCTATTGCATCGCCATGTATGCCAACGAATTCACATGCAAGGTAAGCATCTCTATTATGTCTCTTATCATCCAGAGAAAACTGATATAAATAAAATTTGAGCTTACAATTAGTGAAATAAATTTGGATATTATTTGAAAAAATTAACGAAAAATAGAGCTATCCTCATCTTTGTAATTCTCTTTAGATTTTTATAATTATAATAATTTATAACTACAATCCCTATTTTATTATCTAATTTTATTATATTAGGTGTTGGAATTAATTCGTAGCGTTTTTTAATGAAAGAATGTTATTTATTTCACATGAGCATTAAAAAATACATTAATGAAAGTACTTCCCATCACTTGTAAAACGCTACGAATTAATTCCAACACCTAATATTTTTACTGATTAAAACTTGTCTCTTTTAATCAAAATCTTTTATAGTGTCATGTTGGTTGGACCGGAAACGGATATTTTTGTGGTCCCGACAGCGACAACGATGGCATCCCCGACAATCGTCTTAATTGCAACGACCGTCGCTGTTACACTGACAATTGTCAGACGGTACCGAACAGTGGCCAGGAGGATGCCGACGGTGATGGTATCGGTAACGCTTGCGACGATGATGCCGACAATGACGGCGTATTGAATCTAACCGATAACTGTTGGCTCATTTATAATTCAAACCAGCTCGACAGCGATAACGACAAAATCGGTGATGCCTGTGATAATTGTCCGATGAATTGGAATTCGAATCAGGAGGATATTGACGACGATGGCGAGGGTGACGCATGCGATAACGATTTGGATAACGATGGTAAATTTTTAACGTTAAAAGAGGATACAAGCAACACACACACACACACACACACACACACACACACACGATTATGTGAATCGCAGATGTTGATGCATAAATTAGTTTACGTACCGATTTCATGGAGGCTCATATAGGTATTTTTATTATTTGTATTAGATTTATCCTTAAAACCTCAAATATTATTATTTTTTTATTTCTAGTTTATTTAGAATTAAAAATTTTCACATATTTTTTCATCATTTTACATTAAAAAATTATTAGTTGAAATTGCTGACAATAAATGATGTTGCTAATAAAGAGATATCGTTCAGGTATACCTAACAATCAAGACAACTGTATCAACTTAAAGAATTCAAATCAGCGCGACACCGATGGAGACGGCATCGGCGATATCTGTGACAATTGTCCTAATATTAGCAATGCTGACCAAGATGATATCGACGGCGATGGCGTTGGGAACGTTTGTGATACCAATTCGGATCGCGACAGGGATGGTGTCCAGGATGACAAAGACAATTGTCCGGACGTGGCGAACCCCGGACAGAACGACGGCGATCGTGATGGCATGGGCGACGAATGCGACGACGACATCGACGGAGATGGTATACCCAACGGGAGCGATAACTGTCCTTACGTCTACAATTTGGATCAGCGTGATCTTAATCGTAAGTTTTAATGGGTTTCTTTATGATAATGTTTAGATTGTAATCTGATTTTTTTTTCTGCAGTTCTGCAGATAGAAATATAAAATTCTATATTGAAATATTAAATCGTTATTCAAAAATTTTTTTGATTTTAAACAGAATATTGCACAATAAAAAAATTTATTAAATCTTAATACATATTTCTTTGAATAGAAGTAGTAAATATGTATTTAGTTATAACAAATAAATAAAATACATATATATATATATATATATATATATATTTGATACAAAAACTATTAATTTGATTCAATTATTATTTTTTATTGAATTACTAAATGTATACATTTTGTAAATATTTGTTTAAAATTATTCAAACAAATACTTACTAAAATTTAATATTTATTTTATGCCTTCTGTGAAACATTGTTATTATTATTAGTTGTGAAAAAGGAAATATTATCAAAACACGTGAAGAATAATATTTTGTGTTTTATAGATGATGGCACTGGCGATGCATGCTGGAACGATAATGACAATGATACAGTTATTAATACCCATGACAATTGTCCAAATAACAGTTTAATATGGACAACGGATTTCCGTAAATACTTTACAGTCGCTCTCGATCCATACGGTACAGCGCAACAAGATCCCGTATGGAGAATTCATCATGAAGGTGCTGAGATTCAACAGCTTCTTAACAGCGATCCCGGAATGGCGATAGGTAGGTTTATATGTATATATCGTAAAGATACATGAAAAAGATATATAAAATCTTCAAGTCGCCCTTCAATAAATTTCTACAATGTTCTTCAAAAAACTAAATAAGGTAATCAAATTCCCGAATAAATAAAAAAACAAGAGAAAGTAAAAAACAGACTGCTGGGAATTCGCGCTATTAAAATTGCGATACAATATAATTGCTATATAATATAAATTATTTATATCATAATGCTTGAAATTCAACGAGTATAAAAGAAGATAAAATCTTAATTTTTTTCATTATTAATTAATTCGTTTGCAATAATTATATCCTTTTCATCAATTTCTCTATCTACAAAGGACCGGACGAGCTAAGTAACGCTGACTTTGAAGGAACTTTTTACATCGATAACCACGATGACGACGACGATTTCGCGGGCCTCATCTTTTCCTACCAGGATAATCGACACTTTTATGTTGTTTATTGGAAGAAAAATGCACAGGTTTATTGGGAACCATCCCCATTCCGCGCTGAAGCGGAGCCTGGGTTTGTAATGAAGCTCGTTCAGTCCGACACCGGACCGGGCGAGATGCTCCGAAACAGTCTCTGGCACAAGGAAGACACCCCCAATCAGGTGAGGGTCTTGTGGAAGGAACCGGGGATTAGTTGGCAGCCAAGAGTATCATACAGATGGCATCTGTTGCACAGACCTAAGATCGGCCTGATCAGATTCTGGCTGTATCAGGGCACACAGCAGATAGTCGACTCTGGGAACGTGTTCGACTCGACTCTGCAAGGTGGTAAACTGGGTGTCTACTGCTTCTCGCAGGAAATGATCACCTGGTCGGATTTACTGTATAAGTGCACAGGTAAAACAAGTAATCTCGACAGCAATTTTTACAAAGCGCAAACTTAATGCATCAGAGACTTAAATTAAACTCTTATTATAATTTAATTACGAAACATGACGTAGTTATTTCAACAAATGTAAAAAAGTGACATAAATTTTTAACGGAATAATGTACATGAAAGTGTGCAAAACGTTTTAAGTTCAAAATTATTATTATGAGGTTTACAGATAAGATTAACATTATTTTTCAGATACCGTGCCTCAAATTGTGTGGGATCAGCTACCTGATAATTTAAAGAGAGAAGTTGAGGTGGAGATTTCTAACAAGTATCAACAACAAATAATACAACGCAGAATGAATTACGACTTCTAAAACAGGCTCTCGATGATTTTTTTATTTTATTATAACAATGGGTAAAAAAAAATGTGGATTAAGTCTAAATCTCTGTAATTTTAATTTTTGAATAATCGAGGAGCCACGAACGAATTATAATCTACTATAAAATAAAATAACGTATTTTTAACGAGTTTAAATAAACTCAATTTGCATATGAGTCCAAAATTTTACGATAAATTTTGTATATTATACATACACACACACGCACACACACACACACACATATATATATATATATATATATATAGATGTCTTGTAACAAAAATATTTAATATTCCACAAAATGATGAATATATTTCTCCTATTTAACCAATTAATCATCTTTTTATTGTATTTAGAAAAATTATATTTCAGTTTCACTAAGTAAAACGTACTTACCTCTCTCTCTCTCTCTCTCTCTCTCCCTCCCCTCCCCCCCTTCTTTCTCTCTCTTCTTGTGAAGGCATAAAGAACAATGTCACGATGTATCGACTAATACATATATTAACTGTAGCCCGAGGTATGGTATCATAATAATTTTAATGATCTTTATTTATGTCTCTCTAAGGTGCAATTTTCATAAAAATTACTTCCGTATTTAATAGAGCAAAATAAAGTAATAATCGTCATTATTTTAATTGCACCGTCATTCATTTTGATCATTCGATCAACACGTGCAGTATTGAAGTAATATAGCAAATTGTAAATTTTAATTTACACACATAAATATTACATTAATTTGACATTTAAATAAAACATCAATATTCTTGATATTTCACCCGTGGAAGGATAATTGGTAAATATTAATGGAGTGACAATTAGGGCACGGAATTATTTGTAAATGACAGGCAACATATGTAGACGGCAATGATTTTCGATTAAACAGTTTATTCGTACGAAAATGTCAAAGAAAGATACGATTATTAATAATTTAACGCTGAATCATTCAATCATTCTCGTAACACGTCTAACAGAGTATATTTTATAGATTTTCATCGATGCAACGGCAACGGCTAGAGTTACATACGAGGAAACGATTTAAGGATAAAACTTAAAGAGAAACTTTTCGACGAGTCGCGCGAAAGCCAAGTATCGGCGCAAAATCGTGAATCTCGCTTAGACGTGAGAGACAATAGAAGGCGTGACAGAACGGATGCTGTGGAGGTATTAAATTCGAATTTTATTTGCTTCACTCACAGACGTGTGTGACACTGAGGAATTAACTTGAGTAATTAATTCGTGGTTCCCTAAGTTAATGATCCTTATTGAAATTGACGTAAACAGTCTTCTTACAATGCTTGTTCCCTTGCGGCATTTACAATAATCGAGACGAGATTTTCTTTTTGCGAGACCGTCAATCGTCGTCGCCGCGACTCCTGTGACGGTCAAATTCTGCCACTTTTCGAGAGGCACCCTTTCTCTCCTTCTCTCTCTCTCTTTCTCTCTCTCTCTCTCTCTCTCTCTCTCCTCTCTCTCCTCTCTCTCCTCTTTTACCAGCGCTCTAAACTCGAGGTTCGACTATCCCCCTAAACGCGTTCACGCTAGTACGAGTTGGATCGTGCGATATACATGTAATATTATCGTAATATATATAAATACGAGAAAATTCTAGCTAAAGAATAAATTATTAAAATCTATCTAATTAATCGAAGAAGAAACGGAAGAGGGAGACGATCCTTAACAGTCTACCTATCTATTTACACTAGGGAACGAAATGCATGTTTGCGAGTCACTCGCGGCTCTCGAAACTTTGTCTGAAGACCGGAGCACAGACCTTTGCATAACGCACAAAACATATGAGAATCAATCAATCTTTCATGTCATAGACTGGAAATATTCTGATTGATCTATTCTCTCATGCTTTATGCATTATGCGTTTTGCAAAGATCAGTGCTCCGGTTTTAAGCGTGGAACGCGAAGCTTCCCGATTTCGCGGCAGAACGCGGGACGCTTCGAAGCTTCGTTCCTTCATTTTGCTAGAGTAAAGTCACGCTCGCTGACGCAACGCGTTGTGGCAGTGGTCGCTCAGAACTCGCTGATTAAGGCAGTTGGGCACGCCTTGAAAAAAAAAAAAAAAGGATAAGTCGGTAGTGTCCCCCGACGGAAAAGGACACTTCGCGCAGAGGAATCGATTGGCGGCTGCGGTCCAGCAATACGCTGACACACGATTGGGGACAGTCTTTGTTTCGCGTCGGAGATCACGGAGAGATCGTCGCAATCATAGCCGTCATCACCAATACAATCTTCGCCGGTTAGCCAAGACTCTTGTAATCAACATCGTCTATTCAATGATGATTTGGTAAAGTGTCCGACAATTTTTCTGCATGAGAAGCCAACTTACAGGCAGAGAACGAGTCTCGTTACGCGAAGATATTCTCTCGCCGGAAATATTTTATTTCTTTTCACTGACGCCGTACTTCTATTAGCAAAGTGTCTTCTCGTAACGCGGCGGATCGAAACGACTTTTAACTTTATCGGCGCGAACAATAAAAAGTAATGTCGTTAAGAAATGATACACAGACATATGAAAACGATACAAGAGATTATGTGTGTGTGAATGAAAAGAGGAAGATACATTGCGCTTCTAACATCGTAAAAACGAAATCGCTTTTCCTCAAAAATAGACGGAGAAAAGAGTCGCTAGAACTATTGTTAAAAATTATTGACGCTCGACGAAACCGATCTCCGAAATCGCGTAAAAACCGTTAACAATCAAACGCAATCAACGATTGTTTTCGATCATTGAGGCGCTTATTGCTGCACGGTACATCGCGTTTATGCAAATCCTCCCTTCGTCATCCCCAGATGGACAGCTTACCGCGCAAATGACTCGCGTTTCCCGGCTTTAACGATCGCGACTCTTCGACGCGATCGTTACATGTGCCACCTTGCCGTATATCGAATGGATTCTGTGCAAATGTCCGAGAGACGGCTCGTCGCGCTTGCCGATATTTATTTATTCAAACGAACGCACGTCTTTCCTGGAAAGTGACGTCTGAATTCGCGATTTCTGGAATGTTTCCTGAAAAGTACAGTTTTTCGACGACGATGCGGAAGGAACACTTTAAAAGTAATGTTCGTCGCGGGAATCAAGCCGTCTAGCTGACACGAGTTTTCGGAAGAGAATCTTGATCTAATATCTCGTGTAAATAAATACAGTTGACAAGGAAAATATGTTTAATGGACACACGGATATATTGAAACCGTTGATTCATCGCGCGTACTTATCGTCCTCTGGAAAGAATAAATCATCGACCGATTAAATTAGAAGAAGCGAGATACGTAAGATACTTAAAAATAAAAGGCTCTTCACTCATCCTGCACAGTGTAGAAGACTTCGTTTCCTTTCCTCTGGAAAGTTTCACTGACAAATGTTTCATAGTTTTCAACGATCATTACGCTGATAGCGAACGTCTCATCCTAGCAAAACGATCGAAGCAAAACAAACGAATTTATCGCGCCCAATGCTAGATATTCACTCGAATTGATTACACTGAGAATGCGGACGTCACCTCGTGACGTCTGTTGAATTTTCTTCGGGACGACCAAACACCTCAGCGTTGCTTCTTCGTTCTCAAGTCACGACGAACACTACCGCCGTTGGGCGAAGTGCTGGACGTCGTGACTTCAAACCAGGGTCACCAGGCCTCCGTGTATCGAACGTCGAATTCCTGCAGGGCCGGTAGTCGCTTCTTCAACGACTCGAATGTCTGAGCCGACAGCTTCGTACTATTAAGATTCAATTTCCTTAGGCTGGTTAATGCTGCAACAAAGCGATAAAACACTTTCTTCGAGTGATGGACAAAAATTTATACTATCTCTGTTACATCAAGCCAAAATTTGAAAATAAAAATTGATTTGAATTTAATATTAAATATGTTTAATCCAACTGATGATGTCTTTAAAAAAATCGATCTTTTTAACTGTGAATTTTAGAGTAGATAAAATTAAATCTGTAAAAAATAAATAAAAAAATGCAATCCGATTTGTATGGTAGTAAAAACTCGTTGTTAAAGCTTCAACAAATATACCAGAATTTTTTTCAGAATTTTATATATTATAATTCGATTTTTTTATTATAACACAATAAAATATTTGCTCCATTTCTCGAATACCTATGAAAGAGTTAAAATTCATGCTGTTGGCGGAGGGTTAAATGTATTTTTAATTTTTAATTCTCACGCAATACGGCCATACTTGATGATTTTCTATAAATTTTTACGCGTTTTTTAGACATATTGGTACGGAAATTGAACAATTAAAATTTCATATTCTACGTTTCAAGATTAATTTTATCACAATTTTAATAAAAAAGTCAAATTATTACCTGAATTTTAAGCTTTGAAAATTAGGATACTTACAGGCCAACGTGGAGATGCCTTTGTCGGACACTGGCGTCTCGCAGAGGTTCAGCACCTGCAGCTTCTGCAGATGCTCGCTAATCATCTGTAGGCCGGCGTCGCCGAATTGTGTAGCCCACAGGTTCAAATATCTCAGCGCCGGTAACTTTATCAATTGTTCCGCGCACGCGGACGTCACAGAGGTGAAGGCCAGACTGAGGCATTCGAGATTACCGAGAGCACGACCGCCTAATAGAAGGGCAACGTCAGCGTCGGTCGCTCGAACTGGGAGCGTTAATTTCCGGGGCCCGCCCTTTTGTTGCTAATAAAATCAAGATTGAAAATGTTATTCAACACTGTTAAATTCATAATATTAAATTGCACACAATTGGGAGTTTTTAATCATTTCTATAGGTCACCACTGCCCCTACACAATGTGTCGTTAATTTGACTAAAACAATGGGGGTTAAACAATTTAATTCAAGAAAATGTATTAAATTTGACTCAAATTTAATTTACTAAAGGTACGTTAATATGAGCGATGTTTACTTTGAAACTAATCACAAGTGAATTAATTTACATTTTAACACATATGGAAGTTAAAAATAACAAAATGTTATTTAACTTAAGGAATTGGATTATCATTGCTCCTTTTATACCCAACAGTGCAGACGTTTAATTGCGAACATGTCATTTGTAAATGTGTTCTTGTGCATTAAATTATTTTGCGAAATTCAAGAATTACTTCAATTTAAGAAATTTTATCTAAACCTTCTTTACACATGTTTTTAGTCTGGAATTTAGTTAGACCAACACCATTAGGATTTGGCAACCTTTTGTGATTCAACCTTAATAGACTAAGGATGAATTTTAGTTCTTTGTATTTAATTGCTGAGAGAAGGACTCCA